ATAGTACCATAACCGTCGGACTTCGGTAGGCAAGTGATAAAGTCCATAGTCACGCTCTCCCATGGATGCTCTGCAACTGGTAGTGGCTCCAAATGTCCTCCGGGTTTTTGTTGCTCAACCTTGTCCTGTTGACAGACAAGACAAGTCTGCACATTACACTCTATGTCATCTCGCATGCGTGGCCAATAGTAGTCTGACTCAACCAAGGCCCTAGTGCGACGTTGGCCTGGATGACCAGCCAACATTGTGTCATGACTCTCCCTTATGATCCGCCGTATAATGTCTCCAAACTTAGGCACATAGACCCGCCGACCTGTGGTAAGCAGTAGACCATCTTCGACCCAAAAACGTCTCGTATTACCCTGGTTGTCTAACTCGATAAGTTGTTTGGCTGTTGGATCATGATGCACGCCTTCTTTTATAGCCTCACGAATGTCCCATCTTGTTGAAGTGATTGCAGCAAGCTCGGCCTTTCGGCTCAAGGCATCGGCTACAACGTTACCTTTGCCCGGCTTATACTCCATCACAAAATCAAATTCGGCCAAGAAATCCTGCCACCTAGCCTATTTTGGTGTGAGCTTCTTTTGTGTTTGAAAGTAGCTAGTAGCTACATTGTCGGTCTTGACCACGAACCTCGACCCGAGTAAATAATGTCGCCATGTACGAAGGCAATGCACAATGGCGGTCATCTCCTTCTCTTGCACCGTGTAATGCTGCTCCGTCTTATTTAACTTGCGCCTCTCAAATGCTATGGGATGCTTATCCTGCATCAAGACACCTCCAATGGCAATATCCAAAGCATCGGTATGCACCTCAAATGTCTTGGCAAAGTCAGGTAATGCCAAGACTGGCTCCTCTGTTACAGCTGCCTTGAGGTCTTCAAACGCCCTTTGACAATGCTCCGTCCAAACCCATGGCTTGTTCTTCTTTAGCAACTCAGTCAATGGTGCGGCCTTTGCTGAGTAGCCACAGATGAACCGACGATAGTAGTTAACAAGGCCAAGGAAGGATCTCAACTCAGTTACCTTTATATATGCCTCCCACTCCTGGATAGCACGTACCTTACCCTCGTCCATGCGTATCTCGCCATTGCTAATAACATGGCCTAAGAAGTGCACCTTTGATTGTGCAAACTCACATTTCTCCCTCTTGATATATAGCTCGTTCTCCCACAAGACTTGGAAAACCTTCCTTAAGTGCTTCATGTGATTTTCCAAGGTATTGCTGTAGATGACTATGTCGTCTAGGTATACTACCACAAACTGATCAAGGTAGGGATAAAAAATCTTATTCATAAGGGTGCAAAATGTGGCAGGTGCATTGGTTACACCGAAAGGCATCACTAACCACTCAAAGGCTCCATATCTCGTCACACATGTTATCTTTGGCTCATCCCCCTCTATAATGCGAACCTGGTAGTAGCCCTTGCGAAGATCCACCTTGGTAAAATACTTGGCTTGCCCAAATCTATTGAACAAGTCAGCAATGAGCAGGATCAGGTACTTATTCTTCACTGTGACCTTACTAAGTGCTCGGTAGTCTATGCACAAGCGTAGTGATCCATCCTTCTTCTTCTAGAACAATACTGGTGCGCCGAAAGGTGCCTTTGATGGGTGAATGTGACCAGCATCTAGCAGCTCTTTCAATTGTTTCTTAAGCTCCTCTAGCTAGGTGCCGTACGATATGGGGCAAATGCGGATGGCTTAACCCCTGGCTCCAACTCAATTTTGTGATCCACCTCTCGCCTAGGCGGAAAGTGCTTAGGCAACTCCTCGGGAATGACATATTTGTTTCCCTCAATCAACTTCTCTATTCAAGGTGGTAGTGTCTCTTGAAAACTCTAGTCTTCCTCCAGACTTGCGATGGTTTCCACGAACGTCGGCTCCCCTTTCTTGATCCCCCTGACAACCTACATAGCTGAGTGTTGTGCTTGGCTCTGTCCGTGTGGCATAGACACTGTAGGTACCATGCAAGCTCCTTCTCGCTCCATAACAAAGATATGTTGGAGGTAGGGATCGATCAAAGTATGACAATGTCTAAAGAACTCTTGTCCCAAAATGATGTCAAAGATATCCATAGCGGTTACGGTAAAGTTTGTCATACCTTTCCAAGTTCCCAATTTGATACCAACTCCATTAGCTACCCCACGAGTATTTTGTACCTTGGCATTCATGGTCTTGACGCGGGAGTTGGTTGGAGTAAGCTTCAATTCTAGTCTTTTTGCGGCAGCCTCAGTCACAAAATTATGAGTTGCTCCAGTATCCACTATTGCACGAGAAGGTTTGTTGTTGATGGTGAGATCCACGTACTGGTTTCCATTCTCGGTAGGTTGGATATATTGCTTTGTGACAGCACCGCATAATCCAATCATACCTAACTCTGCGGTTCCCGAACTCTCTCCTTGCAGCTGCTCCTTCCGTTCACGGACCATGGCGCTAAGGCTCTTTAGGTCGGGACAATTCCTGAAGCTGTGCGGCCCTCCGCATATGTAACATCCCTTCTTCTCGGCCTGCGCCTTCTTCTCAGCGTAGCCCTAACGGCTACTTAACTTTTTGGAATCTTGAGTCTTGTAGTATTATTGTTGTATCTCCTTGCCTTTGCCACGATCTCCCCCACCTCTGACAATGTTAAACTTTGATTCTTTGACTTTCCCTTTGTCGTGCTTGTCATGCCTAAAATCCATCAATGATTCGGCCTCCACTATGGCTTGGTCTATATTTGCGACTTGCCGGCGTTGTAACTCCTGCTTAGCCTAATTTTGCAACCCGTCCATAAAGTAGAACAACAAGTCATCATTGGTCAGGTTGTGGATTTGAAGCATAAGAGTAGTGAACTCCTTGACATAGACACGTATACTCCCTGTTTGCTTCAACTCCCTATGCTTGCGCCTTGCCTCGTACAAGACATTGTTTTGGAAAGAACTGTCGCTTGAACTCAGCTTTGAACTGATCCCGCATGCGAATAGTACATAGACCTTTATCCACATCGGCCATCTTCCTTCTCCACCATAGCATGGCAGTCTCTGAGAGGTACAACACTGCAGTGTTGATCATGGCCTCGTCGTCCTTCACTTTGCCGTGCTTGAAGTATTTCTCCAAGTGCCAAAGGAAGTTTTCCACTTCTTGTGCATCACGAACACCTTTGAACATCGGGGGTTTGGGAGCCTCGATCTTGGCCTCCCTCATCACCACAATATTGCTGGCTACCGCGGTCACGCCAGCACTAACATGCTCTTCGAGTGACTCTATCTTTGCCTTCATAGCATCGATAGTACTCAAATCCTCTATGAGTCTGCACTCTAAGGCAATGATGGTTTTCCTTAGCTCCATCTCGGTTTGTGTACGTCCCTCCAAGTCATTTCGGATACTCTCAATCTCTTTAATAGTGTGCCCCTTAAGAACGCTAAGGGTGCCTTCCACATTCCCCAAGCGTTGGCCAAAGATCTCCACGGCGTCCGTCCCCCCGTTCATCTTCCTCACCCACTCTTTACCGAGCGAGATGTCCTCTGGCAGGACCTCCACTTCATCCTCGCTTGCCTAAGTTGCAGATGGTTCTTGGGATGTAAGCCCTTCGTTTGAAACAATCTCGGGTGGCACCTCCTGGCTATTGTTGGTGGCATTTCTCTTTTTGTTAGGGCCGCTCATGCCAGCAGCATCCTGGATGACGTTGGCTTGGGTGTTGGCAATATTAATTTCTCCGTCGTTCGCCATTCCCTTAGTTGCAACCTTTGCTCTGATACCACGTTGTCACGTCCTTAGTCGTTAACTAAATACACGTGCGACACTTGGCAATTTGCTCACGTTCTTGCTATGCCAAGTCAGCCTTACTACACTCAAGATCGCTAAGAGAATGGTAGAAAGAACACAAGAGAATTGTTAAAAGAAGCTTTGTATTAGAGAGAACTTGAATTGTTTGCTTGATGAATTATAAATGAATGGCCCCCTTTATATACTAGTCTCCTAGGGGCTAGTATGTAAATATTAATTGTTACACAAGTCCTTAATATTTACAAGATAAGGGCTTTCTCTAGTATTCTCTACAAGTCTAGAAGATTCCAAGGACTTTCCTAGCAAATCCATAATCATCTAGGGTCTTCCAAAGGAAATGTTCATACTTCTCTAGAATCTTCTCACAAATACTAGCTTTCCTCCTATGTAAGCTTCCACATGGTATTAATATATGCCAAATGGTGTCTGTGGCATGGCGATATGGCACAAATCCCAAAAATCATTTTTTTTCTAATAGCCCAAAACCCAATTTTCTTAGAAACAAATCGTGCCCAAACAAATTATTCAACCCAATAATATCCCATATTTTGTACATTTTCTTAAACAAAACTAATGACACCACAATCTCATACACAAAATTAGTGAATAAGCAAAAATTACAGTGATTCAATGGACCCATTTTATGGAAAACAAATATAGCTAAGATAATGAAGCATTGAAACTAACTAACAACACAGAAACGCAAAATTAAAATCAAAACATGTAAACAAAGAGAAGGAACCAAAGTAGCAGCTATCATTGTAGTTGATGAAAAAGAAATAGATGAAGGAGTTAAAATATCGGACCTTTGTATTGAATTTGAGCCTAAGTTACAACCAACTCGGAAATTAAACAACTCTTGACCGGAACATTTGCCAACGACCTTGGAGCCTCGAACGACCTCAGAACCACCTCTCCGACAGCCTCGAAGTTCGCCGGAAAACTCGAACTAAACCAAAACGACGAAGCTGAACTCTGGCTGATTTTGAGGTTGTTTTCGGCTACTTTTGAGCTAGGTTTTGGACTGAAATAGTGATGTCTTGGAGGTTGTTCGACTGGAATTTTTGGTGGTGAAGGAAGCTGGTTTACTGCTGGAGTTTGGGGAGTTGGGTGGCGGCTTAAGGTGTTTAAATCCTTTTTTTTTTTTTTTTTTGTGATTTTCAATTTTATCAAATAAAACCTATAAAAAGGTGAGATACAAGCTAAAATATCAAGATTAAACTTAAAAAGTATTTAAATACTAAAAGTAATAAAAAAATCTAAATATGTTCAAAAATTAGGTGCTCACTAATGTGATACCATTTACCTAGTTGCAGACACTGTTGATAAGGTGGATTAATCTGTATGGTTGTGTTAAACCTTGTTGTCAATGATGTGCCTGCATAAATTACATTAAGAAATTACAAAATCACATTGGTTCTTTGTATAAGATGAAGTATTGTTAATTTTAGTTTACCATTGTATTTCGACACCCCAATACGTCTTGCAAGGATGATGGGATATTCTTGGAATTGCCTAAGGAGTTTCTTTCCCTCATCTTCAATAATAGCTTCTTCCCATATTATGAATGTGAAAGTCTGCTTACTGTGTACATGGAAGCGACAAATATTTATAGTACTTTTTTATATAATTAGATAATAAGTATACAGAAATGTCTGAAAAGCTTATGACTTGGCTAATAGACCTACCGAGTATCAAGGGCGATGAGTTCCTTCAATCTTTTCTGCAGACTTAGCAAACATATCTTGGCGTTAAGCAGTTGACAACAATTGCAAGCACATCTAATGAAGAGGGATTTAAAGTTAATAAGTATGTTTACCCGAAAAACGGATAGAGTTGAATTTGTACGTAGTTCTAAGAATACGTGACGCAACTTAATACAAAACGTAAGGATAGATAGAAATATCAAGTAGGGATTACAAAGAATGCAAAATAGATAAGGTTGCCAAGAAGATGAATTATAAGACTAAACAAATGGAATCAATTTTAGAAGCTTGGAAGAACAACTTTTCACTATAAGAGAATATGGTGCTCGAATTACAATGTAAGTAAAAACAACTACCCCTTACAGAAATGATAACCATGCCCTTTATAGTAGATGAATCTTACTTTAGATATAATTAAAAATATATAGTGGGAGACTCATGATAAATCAGCTTTTTCACAATTCCTGCCAAGATTCTTTCCTCTAGTGGGATTGCAACGACTCTTGTCTATAAGCTCGATATTGACTCGAGTTTTTGGTCTTGACTCGAGCTCTCGATCTTGGCTTGAGCTCGATTCTGACTCGGACCCTTGAATTGATTCGGGGTCAATGTTGGTCGGTCTCTGGATCACAAGCTTGATAACTTTACTTTGTATCATAGTTCGATTTGAATTCGGGCTCGATAACGATATCAAGCTCGACATTGATCGGCCCCTCGGACTCGAAGCTTGTTTGTACCATCTTCGAAACCCGTCTCGAAGTCTCGCTTTGATCGATTATGTTTCAAACTTGATCAATCGTACGAATGCCGAAATCTATTTCGACCGTATACAGATAGTCGCTTCGTTTCTTAGGAAGAATATCTTGAGAAACGATATGATTTTTCAACGGCTCGATCGGATTATAAGTTGACATTTACATCGGGATCGACCATGACGCACATGATAGCTGTCCCGTCGATTTAGTCTTTCAAGGTATTTAATGCATGTCAGACGGTGGTCGGCCATCGCTGATACTGAACCGCCATTGCATAAACCTATAAATAACCCTTTCTTTTATCATTTATCACTTTTACATCTTTAGTCTTCCAAATATCCCAATTTCTTTTTCGTATTCTCTGAGTTTATTCGCAAATCAGTGATTTCTCTTTGAAAAATTCTTCTTCCAAATTACCAAATCTTCGTCACCTTTTTTAAATCCAAAATGGTGAAGACATCCAAAACCATCCCCCCAAAAGAAAAAGCTTCTTCTTCCCAATCCGCTGCCGATAAAACACCGATGGATCCTCGTCCTGAGGAGTGTGTTTCGGCGACGTGTGTTCTTACCTCCAATTTCAAACTCGATAAAGGTTCGCCGGTTCCTGGCCGATGTGAGCCCGTATCGAGATATATTTGTTCGATAACTCGGGAGCACATCGAGCGGATAAAAAAAGATTGTAATTGGGAGAACAAAGAGGTGGTAGTGCCGTCTCCCGAAGAGGATATTACTACTCACATGAGAGGGTTTTTAAGCGTGTATACTTACCCTTTCATGTTAGGTCCCCTCGACCCTGTTATCATAGATTTTTGTTGTAAATACCTAATAAACCTAGGCCAGATACATCCTTCCTTTTGGCGGATCGTTATTTTGATATGATATTTTGTGAGTAAAATCGAGGGGATGCCTTTCACCCTCGATCATCTTGTTCGATTATACCGCCCTCACCTTTTTAGAGGAGGATTAATAAAACTCCAACGTCGAGCTACCAAGGCTCTGTTGGGTATAGATGAGGATAAGGATCGAGGCTGGATGGGCCGGTTCGTTCGAGTGAGGACTTCGGACTTGATCCCCACCGAAAAGATGTCTTTTCCCGAGGAATGGAACATGAAGCGTGAGTGTAATTTTGCTGTTATCTCCTATTATTTTGTTCCTTCATTTCTTTTCTCACCAATATTCCCATTTTGTGATGCAGCGGTTCCCTGGATGCCTAGCGCAGTGCCCGATCTCAAGAACTGGGTACGTGATCTGGTTTCGACCTCCTCATATGCCGAGCGCTCATGGGACCACTTGTCAAAGGGCCGATGGGAGGCCAAATATTACGGTGATCACCTCTCTCATATCTTTTGGTAATTCGAATAAGATGCTTTTCACACACTTCGATAAAATTTTTCGTATGCAGGTGTAGGCAAGGATGCAGTTTTGAGGCCCTCATCCATCTAGGAAGAGGCTTCGGCCTCTGTCCCAAAGCCGGTGAAAGATAATAAGAGGAAAAGAGCCCTCGTCCTTGAAGATCAAAAACCGAAGAAGAGGATGACTCGTAAGCCGAACAAGAATGTCATTCCTTTGACCGTAGAATCAGTTCTGCATTTCAGGGATGAAGAAAAAGAAGAAGAAAAAGAGAACGATGGGTCTACGCTGGCAGCCCGAACAAAGAAGACCACCGACATTCCACATGCAACTGGATCGATGGTGGTTCACAAGGCTCCGCCTCGAACTGAGGATATATCGGAGAGAGATTCAGGCAGAGTCCCCGAGCTGCTGGAGATCGAAGATACTTCTTATCGAAGCCGACGGGTGGGGGATATGTCTGAAGGGACTCTTCCTAAATCTTTTCGAACCGAAGAGAATGCCCTAGATGACTCATTTGGGGCAGTAGCAATCGAAGGCTCGCCCATCTTCCTTGATTTTTCCGCAGGTGCGATTCGGGAAGCCCAAGTTTTGGGGGCCTTCGAATTAGATATGCCTCATGATGGAGAAGATCCTTTTCGTGACCTGTTTATTGGCGTCGAAGACACTGCCGGTACAAGTGACGCATTAGATCGTTTTCACGGAGTACAACAAGCTTTGAACCAGGTAGGCCTTAAATCATATGGCGTTACCTTTAAGTTTGCTTTTTCTGACTTCGTTTCTTCTTTCTTTGCAGGCTGCGACAATTCATCGAGAATCGCATTTTTGGTCCCGAACCGAGCTACGTCGATACGAGGCCGAACTTCAACTGGTTACGGAGGAGAGGAGCTACTTAAAACTCCTTTTGGGCCAAAGGGGAGAGGAAATAAAAGACCTCCAAGCTAATTTGGCCAGGGCTCACCAAGATCAAATCGATCTATCTGAGAAGGTAATAATGATTTTTAAATCCTATGGGCTTGATACCAGAACGATGGCTAATTTTTCGGTCTCACAACAGCAGCAGAAAATCGAGATGATCGGAAAACTCCGTGAAGAAGTCGATGTGATAAGAGCGGAGTCTTTGAAGTGGAAAGAGGGAATGGACCGCTTCGCTGCAGAGAAAGAAACTGCTCGAGCCCAACTATCATCGGCCGAAAACCAACTTCAAAAAATGAAGGAGAAAAGCTCGGTTCAAGCAAGAATAATAGAGGAGCTCGAGGCTCGGTTGGCCTATGTACTTGCCAGGGCTGAATTTGACGCCGAAAAGGCAAAGGTCGATGCAGATGCACTCGTGGCCATCTATCAGGCCGATGCTGAAGCTGCCCCGGTCCAAGCAAGAGAGGTAGCCGAGACCGCCGATACTCGAGCACATTGGGTCGCTGAACTTGCTAAGTGTCGATCTAGGAGGGAGACCCTCGAGGAGATCTATGCTCGATGTTTCGACCTCGCTGAAAAGATAAAAAGGGCCAAAGAACTCAAAGCTGACGCTGAAGCCTTGGTTTCTGATGACGATAATGATGACAATGATGATGACGCTGGGAGTAAGAGCGGACCCAAGAAT